CTGGAGCAGAGCCAGCTTTCAGACTGCAAAACCAGAGAGATGTCTCCCGCAATGGCGACTTTCAAGAGCTGTTTGTCGGAGGCAGAAATCATTTAGAAACATTATCTAGAGAAAGATATCATATAATCCTGGCAGTCACTTTCCTATAACATACTTTGTGGTGAAACCTTTTAAATATGATATTTTCATAGTTTGTTTTTAATTTAAAAAAAAAACAACTTCCAAACTTCACCTAGCTCTGTATTCTTTGTATCAGTCCTTGTTATCATAATCTTGAATTTAGCACTCTTATTTCAAGCTGAATTTTTGTAATAGTTCAGCCAGTGAAGCATCATAACCAACCTCCCTTGCTTCTTCAAACACATGATTTTTTTCAAAGTGACATTCTTACACATTAGTTCTATGTCTAAAGAACCTCGGCCATCTAAACTTTCACCTCTTGACTATTTCTCCCAGCCTGACATGTAAAGAACCTTGTCAAACAATGGCAACCTAGATTTCAAGCACTTGGTTACAAGTGCCAGCCACTGCTCTGCTTAAATGGTTTGTGGTTTCTTGATTCTCACAGTTCTCCTGCTGCTGTGGGCTGGAAGATCAATTCCTCACTCCTCTGTCATCGCTGTTCATCAAAAGTGGCTCCATCCTCAAAGCATTTCTAAATATAAAACCCCCAGTGTCACCTTGCTTCACCCCAGTGTAATTCTTATTGCCCTTGCTTTTTGTTTTTTCTTAGTGATTTATATTATTCTGTGCCAGTGGTCACATGATAGCTCATTCAGGGCTTTGTGCAATGACTTCATCCCTACTTCTCAGCCAGAAGAGTTTCAGAGTAAGCCCCACGGTTTATTCCTCTTGCAACTTTTCTGTGGCCCACCAGAATTCTACCTAGCCTCAATAAACACACGTAACTGAAATGCTTTATTATCTTAGTCACGTAGTTCCTAGCTTTATGATACAGGGTGTGAGATAAGAACTGAAGAACCTGCAAGTCATCTCCACTCCCTTCAAATGGCTTCTTAAATGGTCTTTAGCCATATTTAGATGAGACACCCCGAAATACTCCATGTTCTTAGTTTTTAGGATCTCTTCCAAATTCCCATGAATTTCTGTGTAGAGTCCATTTAAATTTTCATGCCAGGCTGAGCCTTCTCATCCATCTCATCTGCTACCTCTTGGTGGGAAATTCTAAGCGCCCCAAATCCCGTGAGCTCCTAGCGTGATGAGCGCTTGCCCCACGTCTGTTTTCTTTCCAGTTCTTCCTCTCTCGTCATCCGTGTACCACACCAAAGTGTTAAGCCTCTAGTCCTTTTCTCTCTTTTCTAGTTTGATTTATGTGGACTTAGTCTTCAATGATTTTTTTTTTGTTCTGTATTAGCGAGGGATATGCAGTTTCCAAGAGACGATGTCTTGTTTCGTGCTGAAAACACTTTGCCGTTTCAGAAGCTGGAGTCTCCTTTGGGTTTATAGTCATGAAGTCAAGGACATTTTTTAGATTGCTTCTTATATACAGAGCACTTGTGCTGGATACTGAAGGTAAAACTGTTTTAATATCTGGTTTCTTCCCGGAAGGAAGTGTCAACGTTAGCGCTCACCTACCTGACTCTGAGCCTTGCACCGGATCACTTGTTAGTGCCTTCCTCCAGCTAGTCACCTGCATTCTCTGTAAGAATTGGTTTCGTCTTACTCATTGTTTAATTGAGCACGGGGCCTAGTACCGAATAAGCGTTTAGTAAATGTGTATCCAATAACAGTTTGCCACACAGAAGCCCCAGCGTGAGGAGGAGCCTGGTGTATCAGGAGGCCGAGAGCCGGCCAACAGGACAAGTGACTCCAGTCGAGGTCAAAGGGAGTGGGTTCAGATCGCACAACACATGCTCTGTCAGCCTCAGCGTCCATGCCAGTTGGAACAATGCTGTTGGCAGTGGCTGTATTGTGTCCTGAGAGCCATTTGTCAGTATGTCTGGGCTGTGTCTAGGGTAGCCAGTTGGACTTCTTCTCTCAAATTGCGATACTCAAAAAGCGTCTCCAGACACTGCTAGACACTGACAAGAGTGCGGAGTGGCCAATAGTTATAGAAATAAAAATGTCCATGTGTATCCTTAGAGATGGTTTTATTCTGTTTAGTTTTCACTATTATTGTATTTTAAGTGAAAACTGAAAGCCATCGAACAGTCTTGATCAGGAGAGAGTCATGTATTGATGAAGATGTGTGCAGATTAGCCTGTGAAGAGAGCCCATTGTGAAGGGGCAGGAGCATCATCCTGTGATAATGACAGCCTGGAGGGCTGAAGGATGCTGGTTCGTGTGGAGGAAAGGGGGATTTGACTTGAGACTCAACTTGATGGACTTTAACATATCTTAATTTGGGCAAAGAATACGAGTTTGAAGAATAGCATTTGAAACGCTCACACTAAGGAAGGTTGGGAGAATTGAGTGAAATGAGGCTGCCATATAATCCAAGAGAATCTAGAAAAACCAGTAGCCAAGAGGGACGGTAAGGAGCAGATAAGTTTTATGCTATTTTTGAATATTTCTGTTTCCTGTCCTCCTTCCAGTTTTTAGATAAGGGGTGGCAGTATTGGCACATTATTTTATTTCCATTCAAACTGAGCCTTTCAAATGCTTCCAGCTAAGGGGTGCCTTTGGGAGAGCCTTGTTTCCACGTATCTCTGAGCTGATTGTGAGTGTGGCTTCTCTAACGCAAGTGTTGGCTTTAAAGAGTTTACGGCAGTAGCTTGGGGGCAAAGCTTTTTACCATCTTTTCAATATTATGCCTCTAGACTTTAGTGTATGGAGGACATTGACCTAGACATAGTAAGTTGTGAACGTTAGTAAACCTTGCCTGTTGATATTCGACAAAATAAATTCATTAGGCATACACACACACACACAGAGAGAGAGAGAGAGAGAGAGAGAGAGAGAGAGAGAGAGAGAGAGAGAGAGAGAGTCTCAGTGTCTTTAAACTACTAGGAAATATGAAAGCCAGTGTCAGTCTTCAGTCTGTAAAGACTAAGCCAAGGAGAAAAGTGGAACTTACGGCAGGCAGATGTTAACACGAGGAGTGACCCAGAAGGCATTAGTGAGGGAAGCACACTGAAGGATTCCCATGTGTGGTGTTGGTGTAGAATTCAAGGGGAACGTGGGTCAGGAAACATGGGCTGGAGACATTGGTTCTCATACCAAAGGCCAGGTCCTAAATGGCCCTGCGGTAGCATCGTAGACGTGAACACTGGTAGGGGAAGGCAATTCTCAATGTACAGAGTCCAGCCACCTCCGTCTTCATAAACGCAATATCCTCAATGAACTGTGGCATCTGCCTCCTAACTGGTTCTGCTGGCCTTGCCCCTAGTCAATCTGTTCATAAGATAGTAGCCACAGTCCTTAGATCCTAGCAGTCAGACCACTCTGCGGCTAAAAGTCCTCCAGTAGTATACCGTCTGATGCAAGCCAAAGATATTCTGACTCCTCTTGGGGCTTACTACCAAGTAAGATGCTTTCAAAATGTATGTTGTTCATTGCTGTCCCACACAATAGGAAGGCAAATACATGAGAGCAGGGTTCTTCTTGTTTGTTCACAGACGTATCAGCGGTAGCTAGAATCATGCCAGGTACTAGGGTGCCAGTGAATTATTTGTTGAGAAAATGAATTTGATTGGGATCTCAAATATATCATGATGCTCACTTCTTTGGTGATTATAGAATACATTTAAGTCACCCTACCCCATATGTGCCTTCTTTTCTTCTGCCTTACTCCACTTCCAATTCACATATTTATGCATTCCTATAGCAAAATGATTCTATGCATGTATGAGTGAATGTCTATCCGCAGTCAAACCTGGCTTTTTGAGACCGTGCCTCAGCTGTGCCAGCTCTCCTGCCTGCTGTGCGTTCTCTGGGAATCTGGACCTTGTGTGCGAGCCCTGGGTAAACGTGGCGATGCTGTTTGAGGAGAGCGGTGTTCTGACAAACTGTAACAGGATCCCAATGATAACATGTTCTGGGTTAGTGGTGTAAAGCACATCCCCGCTCTCCGGGTTAGCCTCTCTGTTCTCTTGGATCAGCCATGGACTGACTCTTGGTACCACTCCCTTCATGCTGAGCGGATGGGCAGCTCTAGTTTCCTCAGCTCCACAGGGGGATGAGCCTTTGATTTCTTCATAAATAGAGCAGAGAAATATAACCGCAGAAAAACACTGGGGACATGATGAACAGTATTTATCTGGTGAGTAAAGGAGCTAAGACCTTTTGTTGCGTTGTCTGCCCGTCCAGTCAGTAAATGTTATTGAGACCACAGGGTGGTCTATTTTGATTAAGGGAATATTCTTTACTTTGACGATGGTGGCTAGTAAGTGGTTAAACGGCTATGCTCAGACTATGAGAAATGAGAGATGGTTAGCTACACGCCGCCTCAGGATTGTGTAGGATATCTTCATATACACGTAGCATCGTAGGTATAGCATTCTGCTAAGGACTGTCCCACAGAGAGGATGGTCTGTTGCTTTGCAAGCTCCGGTCATGATACCTTCACAGTCGCTACCACCCTGGCCACGGCCTCCCTCAGTGAGCACACACCATGTCCCATGTCGCAGCTACACCCTTGGAAGTTGCTACCAGGTCCTTTGCTGTGGTTCCCTCACCAAATGGTCCCAGGAACTCTCCAGATAAGGCCCCCACCTTCATTTTGTGGGTTTACAAAATTGGATACAGAAAGATTAATTTATAATGAGTAGATACCAAGAGAAATGGACATATGTCTAAATTAATTATTCAGAATTGTAATAGAACAGTATCTGTGCAGGTGCTGGAGGAGCTGGTTTTGTGTTTAACACTGGAGGAGTATTATGAGCAAGGGGAAGTCTCTCCTCAAAGGGTTCCCTTATGAGAGATATTGTTAGGAAGCAGAACAAGGTTCTTTTGTTAACTGTAATTCCAGCGCCTGACTACATCTAGAGGACAAGTTCGGGTAATCTCTGTATGTGTGCTGTGACTTCTTTCTGCAGAAGGGAGCTGGGTACCACCTGGACCTGTTCTGGGTCGCCGTCCTCATGGTGGTGTGCTCCTTCATGGCTCTTCCCTGGTATGTGGCTGCTACTGTCATCTCCATTGCTCACATCGACAGTCTGAAGATGGAGACCGAGACCTCTGCACCTGGAGAACAACCCAAGTTTCTCGGAGTGAGGTGTGTTGTCACAGGGTCATGACTCCCTAAAGCCCATGGGTACACATCTTTGTGTCGATCATGTGGAGGTGGACACTGTCTGGGGATGAGGTGGATGGTGGTTGTCAATCATGTGGAGGTGGATACCGTCTGGGGATGAGGTGGATGGTGGTATTTAATTTAAGTAAATTATCTTTTCCAAAAAAGGACCTTTTTTCTTTTTTAATTTTTTTTTTTCGAGACTAGGTGTCTCTGAGTAACTCTGGCTGTCCTGGAACTTGCTCTGTAGACCAGACTGTCCTTAAACTCAGAGATCTGGCTGCCTCTGCCTCCCGAGTACTGGGATTAAAGGTGTATGCCATTACCACCAGCAAGAAAGGACTTTTTAATAAAAAAGATAACTTGTTGCTTTTAGTTTGCTTCTTATAGTATGTAAATTTTCTTGATTTCTATCATCTTAAATGATGCAACCTGAGAACATAAGTGATTTATTGTCTTCAATATGCAGCCGAGTGCTGCAGAGTGCTGGAAATCAGTCATGTGTAGACCTCAGAACCTTAAGTGTGCCATGATTCCTGGTATTCTATGAAGGAGTCAGGAACTCTCATTTCCCAGCCAATTTCTATTCCCACAAGAACTTGAGAAAGTATAACCTTCAAATATTAGATCAGAGTACTTGGCAGCGTTAGTAGTAGAAGGCCTTTTTACACCATTGAGTGTCTTGTTTTTGTTTTTTTGTAGTAAGCTCTGCTCCCAAGAGCTAGGGTGCATAGCTCATACAACAGAGCCATCATTTCCCATGCCCCAACAGTGGATGATTCTTTCTTGGGGGTTGGAGGGTGTTGGACTGTATCATATTTGTTAAAAAGTACTTCTGTTGTTGCAGATTTGGAAACTAGACTGTTGCGATTTATTGCACTCATGAAATTTCCCTGAGCTGTTTGTTAATTAGAATGTGGGACAATGTAATATCTGTCTCCCATGAAAGAAGGTGTAATTACACAACAGCACAAGTTGTTTGAAAAATAAGGGCTTCAAAGAAGCCAGTAATTGATGGACCAAGAGCAAGCGATTTTTCTTTCTTGGTTCTGAAAGGAGCAAAAGCATTAGAAGAATCACTTTTTTTCTTCATGAATTCAGTAGTTTCAAGATTTTTTTCTAAGTTAATGCTTATGTTGAATTCATAGGATATTCTTGAGATCTGAGGAGCATCATAGCAATATCGTTGATGCTTTAGCCCAACACTGATTTGGTCTCTTTTGAAGGTCTGTGAAAACTGGAATTAGATTGATGATCTTTGATTTTGTTTCAGGGAGCAAAGAGTCACTGGAACCCTTGTGTTTATTCTGACTGGCCTGTCCGTCTTCATGGCTCCCATCTTGAAGGTAAATACATACAACATGTACCTCTTCCCCTTCCTTGAAACACTAACAACCAGACACACAAGTGTGAAATTACAAGATTTCATAGGACATGGAAGCAGGGGTCCATTAGAAAAAGGACTTTAAAAATACCTGCCTTGGTTTCCCCTTCCACCTGCGCATTCTTTTATTTATTTATTTTTTTTTTGCTGTTATTTTTGTGGTCTGACATCAGCAATATTGAAATATAGAAGGGCAGTGGCATACGTGTCCATCTCACTGGTCTTCCTCCCTGCCCAGCACATGCTCTTTATTCTCCTTGTCTTCCACCCCTCTATCCACTTGCTTGTCCCCAAGTCCTGCCCCTTCCCAGATCCTTACAGAACGCTAGTGATCATGCTGAATTTCTTTCCACTCTTTTGGGTTATGACCACATTTCTGTTTTGCCTTGAGTCAGAAGGCCTGTTAGTCCCGAAAGGGATATGAGAATAAAATGACTGATTTATAATTGGAAAACTTGAGAAATGAACTTTTGAAGAATCATGGCATGATAGAATATTTAGAAGGTTGGAAATCAGTGTTTGGGCTGATTGATGGGGTGGGCATCTGTGTAGACAGAGCAACACACATACAATGGCCCCTTTGGGAGAAACAACTAGAGACGAAAACTGACGTTTTTACTCGTGAAGCTTCCTGTTTTTATGATCCAAGCTATCTTCTCTCTCTTCTTTCTATTATAAAAGTAATATTCCTCACCAATGAGCGGTAATTCGCATCTTATACTTAGTGCAACTGTGACTTTGCCCAGACCTGAGAACCGTGAGCAGCCACTGTTAACAATAGCTTACCGTTTTACAAACTGAAACATTTTATTTTTAAACAGCTTAGCCTTTTAAGACTTTTGGATGCTTATTTGGCTGCACAAATAATGTAGTGATATTACATGACTCTAAACACTTTAAGGGATGTTCAGGCGTGACAGGGAGCAGCAAAAGCTTTCCCCTTCTCTCAGATTAGCAAGTTTCTTTCTGTGGCCACTCAAGGAGTTTTAGTGGAGGGAGCTACAACTTGTGAGTCTTTCAAGTACTAGGCTCGTGCATACATTTGGTGTGACATGATTAGTAAATAGTTAAAATACTTGGTTATCCACCATTTATTCTTGGTTTATATAGTTTCCATTTTCTGGTTAGCTTTTGAACAGGTTCACAAAGGACCCACAAAGGAACTGAGGTTAAAAATGGTGTCAGAGAATTATTTCTGGCCTGTGTTCCGTAGAGACAGGAAAATCCATGGTCAGTTCTACAAATGCAAGGAGTGGATCTAAAGGCTTAGTGCAGTGGCTCTCATCCTGTGGGGTGTAGCCCCTTTGGAGCTGAATAGTTCTTTCACAGGGGTCACCTAAGACAATTGGAGAACACAGATATTTATGTTACAATTAATAATAAAGGCAAACTTACAGTCATGAAGTAGTAATGACATAATTTTATGGTTGAGGGTCACCGAGAGAACTGTATTAAAGGGTCGCAGCATTAGGAAGGTTGAGAACCACTGGATTAATGAATTTGAATCATTGTACCTTCTGCCAGGGACTTTAACTGTTTCTGTTCCCCTGGCAGGTCCTAGCATATGATGCTGACGGAAATGCTTAGTGACACCCTTAAATAATGAGATCACATTTGGAGGGGACACTGTGGGCAGCTGAGACCCTGTACAGTCGGAAGGAAGCACCAATCCCCTGCAGCTGGGCTCATGCAGTACGCTGTCACAGTGCACCTTGCTTTTCTGGGATCTCCTAGAAACGAAGTTTCTATGGAGTGGCAGCAGGCAGAAATCCTTCCAGTTTTCAGATGTGCTCACCATCACCCAGCCCTCCATTTTTGTCTTGTATATGATTTGCTCTCATTAAAAAAGTATAAAATCCTCCTGCTTCATAAAAGGCAGTTGTACTTAAAACTCCCGTGTTTGTGTTGCAGAAAATTTGGTTTTAATCATGGGGAACCTGTTAGTAGGTGTGTATGTGTTGAAGAACACGAGTTAAAGAATCCCAGGCTAACTCCAAGATATGCCAATTATATTTTTCTTTATTATAAGGGGCAAACTCACAAAACAAGAATGAGAAGTCCAACCTCAGCTGTGTAGCATGGGAACCACAGAGAGTGAGAGAGAAGGAGAGAGAGAGAGAGACAGACAGACAGACAGACAGACAGCGGTTTTCTCCAAGTACCCAAAAGATCACATCCTAACCTGGTCTAACCTCTTAAAGATCATTGGCTGACAGAGATTCCCCAACAGCTCCCCCTTTTGTCTAATAAGAGAGTTCCAAACCCAATACAAACTATATATATTAGGAACAGATATCAAGTATAAAATTAGGATTGCAACCATCACATACAATATTAAGCAAGGAATACATGCTAAATGTTTTAATAAACATTCTATCCTAAAGAGTCTAAGTCTTGCATTGGAGCTTGGCTAAATAATAAGAGGAAGGTAACTATGACTGTCTAATCTTCAACCTCATCAAAGGCCTAAGAAGGGAAATAATATTACTTGAGTAGGCAGACATATAATCAAGCAGCTTTCAAAATGTAAAGTATATACAGAGACAACTGGCTACCTGAGCAATCACCCACAGTGTCATTTGCAGTGTTGAAGCAAACAACTTTGGCTAAGGCCTAGCATAACTTACAAGCCATCTTTAGAGGCAGGAAATTTTTCAAAACTGTCTTACCCTGCCTTGGCAAGGTTTGGCAGTCCTTTTCCTTGTGTTCTGCTTATACACTATGTACTTTGTCAGTGGGCAAGGCATGGGCATTTCCTTGCCCAAAGGCCAGTTGTGCCAAGAAGAAAATAAGCTCCAAGTGGAGTGTCTTTGGTGTTTAACATTCTCTAAGGAATAGATCAGTGCTGTCAGGAGCAATAGTGTCTCACATCAACAGAACCCTCAATTATTTAAATGCCATGTTCTACAGATCCTTGACATGGTTGAAGATTACCTATCTAGGCAGAATACAATTTCTGTGTATCTAAAGAACCTAACTAATCTGACTATGTGTATAACAAACGTGAGTGACTATTGACTTATGATGCTTAATACTTTTATAACTTAAAGAATAAGACTTCATATTAGAATATTAAACAACTGCGTACTAAAGGAGGACAATGACCTCAATATATAAACTATGTATAAGTATCTTGATCAGAGGTAGGAATATATATTGTAATATGATAAATATATCCTAAAATTGTATTAATATACAAAAGGTCTTAAACAGAGATAGAAATATGTATAAACATGACAAAATAACTTTGCATAGGTGTACAGATATTGTAAACAGAAATAACAAATATAATTTGAACTTGTATCAATATACAAGAAACTATACCAATGTAAATTGTCCATAAATAATAGCTCACAAGTATTTACTTTATTAGTAACACACTATTAGCATTATTATTATTAATGTGAATAAATTCACACTAAATTACCTATTAAGATTCCCCATCATGTATGGTTCCGAAGGGGCACACAAAACAAAAACTGTTTAAACTGTTAGCTTTAGAAAGACTGAGAAAACTCATAGTTACAGGTCTCTTGGTACCCAAGTAAAGCTGCAGGGAAGCTGAAACTGAACCTTTTTATCCCATGAACATTTGAAGCACCTTAAGGGGTCAGAACTCATTAAGAAGAGACAGGGAGTTCCAGGAAGCCACGAGATGAACTTGCACTCCCCTTTGGCCATCCTGGCCAGCCCATGCCTTGACTTGCCTTACTGGGCTGCTAGTATCATCATGTGACTGTTTCTGTCTGGTGACTTTGATTCATCTGAAGAGTCTTTGTCTCCATTAGTGAAAAAAGTAATTCAACACACATTATTCGTTTTTTTTTTTTTTCCTGGATTTTTCGACACAGTTTCTCTTTGTAGCCTTGGCTGTTCTGGAACGCACTCTGAACTAGGCTGGCCTGGAACTCATAGATCCTCCTGCCTGTGCTTCCTGAGTGCTGGGATTTAAGGTGCTCAGCACTACTGCCCAGCTTCAGCCAGCAGTTTCCCCAATGTAGGAAATGAAATTGTTTTGCCAATCTAGCTCACAAGAGACTATGGAACCCTTGATGTTAAAGCAGCAAGGGCGAAGCCTTTCCTCTCGCTTGAGTAAGTTGACATCTCCTGATAAGGATTGCTCTTTCAGATCACATGCCCTTCTCAGTCCTGACAAGTTCTGTGCAAGTATCAGAGGTGCCTCGTTAGCATTTACAAAGTCAACACAGGAAGAAGCAGATGTTAAGGGCACAGTTTAACTGAAACGTAAGCCATGGCTAAGGAAAAGGTACAATTAATAATTAACCTCAAAATTCATGCAGGAGGTGGTGTCACGGGTTACCCTCCCATGTGACACTCTCCCTCTCTCTCTGTCTCTCTGTCTCTCTGTCTCTCTCTCTCTCTCTCTCTCTGTCTCTCTCTCTCTCTCTCTCTCCCCCTCCCTCCCTCTCTCCTCTCTCTCTCTCTTTTAAGCAACAGGTGATAACTTCAGAGAATAGTTTTACTTGAGATTCTGTCTTTTAAAGTTAGATCAAATGTATGGGAAATAGAGTTACATGTCAGTTTTTTTTTTTAAATGAAATGGTTCAACGCCTTCCCTGCTCAACTCCTTTTCCTCCTCACAAGTTTAGTGGCCTGAGATGAGATCAGAAATTTTCTTGCGTGCGTGAAGCCATAGAGGTGCTTGCCTGCTTACGCAAGGTTACTTTGAACATGCAGTTTATGGCCTCCGTTTTGATCTCCGTGCCGAAATCCATCTTTCATGTGGAGGAATGTAAGAAATGATAGTGTACCAGCTTTAAGTTCATGAGGATACCATTGACCCTGGCCAGCTGCAGTCACAGATGCCTCAAAGCACTGAATCGCGTCATTACTTAGTTCAGAACTGCTGGGAAGTAAGAATAACTGGCTTCCCAGGCTGGCGACCTGGCTTCCGCTGAGCATCCACAGTGGACAAGCTGCCGGGGACTGCTAGTGTTCTCTAAGTGGTGACCGCGGAGCGGCTAAGAGATGAAAGGCTGCGCTGCCTTTCCCTGTTTTCCTGGCAAGACTCAAGAAATAAAGATCAAGTAAAGTTCACTGCTGCCTCTGCTCAGATTAGTTTATCTTTAACGTGAGGCGTGGCCAAAAGTGATCGTTAAGATTTGTTAGTACACTAAAGTGTGGAAGACAGCCTTTAATTTGTACTTGGCAAATGCTTGATCTCCACATGTGTCCTGGACCATGGGCGCAGGGCAGCCATGGTAGAGGTGACCGCGGTGGTGATGACGTTAAGCTACTGTCTGTTGAGCTGGGCCTCAGATTAAAGAGTCATCACAGATTTAGAAAATTGAGTCTTCCACCGGTGCCTGTAAGAACTATATGAATAATATCTCTGCTTTAAATATAGGGAAATTATGAATAACTCATTAGATTTCAAAATGCATAGGTGATAGAGACAAGATTTGAACTCTGGAAGTTCTGGCAAAAAACCAGCTCTGTAGCCTTGTACAATGTGTGCCTTTCAAAATAAAACATGGCATTTGGCCTTCAAAGAATCCCTGCTTTCTTTTCTCATAAGATTATCTTTCCCAGATTCTTTGATCTCACTTGGAATCCTTTTTATGTTGAGAAAATGATGTAACTTTCATAAACCCCTCTTCAGACCTCATTCCAGGCTGTGCACCGGAGGCTTCTTTATCCGTATAGATTTTGAAGACTTAAGAGAGTTAGGGAATTATGTTAGTAACATATTGCCAGGGCAGGCTAGCTGAAAGAGTAATATAGTAGAAATTAACTCAAGCAGGGCTTCAAGCCTGACCGTCCAGTCGGCCCTCCCTGCACCCTAGCTACTCTCCCCACCCACCCTGCCCTAGTCCCTCCGTGAGGAATCAGGGAGACCTCTGGTTGGGAACTGCAGGCAGCTTCCTCGACGCATCCTTCGATGTCCTCGGGATAAGGATGGGATAAGCTCTCCATTCATCATTTGTTCCTTGTCATTTTAATTAACTAATTGGCAAGACATTTTTCTGTCATGTGGTCCTACCATAGGTGCTTTCTACTGAAGGGGGCTCAGAGTAAGAGAAACAAGCAAGAGTCTCAGTATCCAGTAGCTAGAATCCACACCCAGGTCTGCTCAACTTCTGTTACCAATGCCTTACTTTTAGTGATAGACACACACACACACACACACACGAACACACACACATGAATGCACGCACGCTGAATATAAAGCCATCCAGAGATCTTGGTCCTTACTGAGTTCTTAGCCATTGTTGGCAACCACAGTTTCCCCTTTTTATCAAATATCCTTGCACATTTTTTCCTCTGGGAGAGTTCTACTACGATTGGCAAATCATTAGGAGATACACGGGAAAATATAGAGACCAGTTCACCAGAATTAGAAAATTTGGTGACAGAGTATTAAGATGTTAAATCTTATTTTGATTTTGTCTCACTTTTATTATTCCATATAGGTTCAGCCATTTAATTCTTTCATTTTTTTTAGTGTTTATTGCATATAACACTTCCTTGAAATTCTCCTCTTTTGCTTCCTGGGTATCATTAATGATATAATTGTTTACATGGGTTACCACTTAGGAATCTTGGCATGCCTATGAAATGGGTATTTTTAGTTTCTCCTGCCTTGATCTGTAAAAATATCCACTATCACTGTTTTATTGTACATGTTTTGTAGAGTTCATTACTTATAGATATTGTCACATGGCAATCTTTCTGCCTCAGCCTCTTACACAAGCATGAGCTATCCTACCCTGGATGGCTCTCACTTTTAAAAGCATTTTTTTTCTTCTCCTTTTGAGAACTTTCTGTTTTGGTGAATGATTGTACTGTAATTAATTTTTAAACATTGACCTTCTGATGTGATTCATGAACTAATTCTATGAAAGATACCCTCTACCCCAACAGGTCTGTAAGGTTTCATTAGTTCCATTTATATTTATATTGATACATACTATTGTGAAGGAAATGCAAATATCATAAGCATTTGTATCATATTAATCTAACCAAAAATCAATTTTACAACCTATATGTATTGTTTTTCTCCCAGTTGATATATGTGTTAGTATCCCTAATTATTTTCTTGCTTACATCCATGCATGCCATCCCATGTTGTAGATTTTGTGACATCTGTTAACGTAAGTTCAGAGAATGAGTTTACCGCCCAAGGCAAGGCACAGTGTTCCTCTGCTATGATAGCAGAACACAGTAGGGAAAAAAAGTTTAGTTAAAGCCCAGGGCAGGGTAGGCCTTTTGTAACACTTCCAAACTGGAGAAGTGCTTTACTCAGATTAAAATAAATAAATAGCCACTGCACGGCTGGAGAGATGGCTCGGCGGTGAAGAGCCCTGACTACTTTTCCAGAGGACCTGGGTTCAATTCCCAGCACCCACATGGCAACTCACAGCTGTCTGTAATTCTAGTTCCAGGGGAATTGACACCCTCACACACACATGCATGCAGGCAAAATACCAATGCACGTGGAATAAAAAATAAATTTTAAAAAAAGAGGTAACCAATGAAGAAACCCAAGCAGTTTCCCATGAATCAACTGTTCTTTCCTGCATCTACTTCTTTTTTACTTGGAGCATTAGAAATGTAGTAATAAACGAAAAAAATTATTACATATCTAGGGAAAATAAATGCCTTAAAAATGAATCAGAGACATAAATCATTTACGCATCTTATTTTTTATCTTTGGAAAACGTCCATAGAGAGTTATGAGTTAACCTAAGCACACATATGCTGAAAGACGTGGAGGCTTGTGTTTGAGGCCAGGTGGCTTGAGTGTGATATGCCTACCGCTCTGTGGTCACTGCCCAGTATTGCAACAAGCTGGCTGCCTGCCAGCATGGTCCTCCCACCCACTTCATCACTTGGTTTCTTTTCTTTTTCATTCTTTTCTGAGCTCAAGATTAAAATGAGTTCCGACAGAATTGCTAATCCTTTTTCGAGCAAACACTTGACGGTTTTGTAGAAATGTGTATTTTCCCTCCTGAACTTTGACCATTTCTGTAACTAACCGGTAATAACTGGAGGCAGCTGTGGTTCATTTTAGACTTCACCAGTTCTCAATGGTGGCCAGAGGGTCCCAGGCAGAGCAGAATCAGGGAATTGCAATAAGATGGTTCTAGAAATGATGCTTCATTTAATACACGCAGTAGTTTTAAAATTCTACCTTAAAGGAATCCTCTGTCTGCTGGTTATAATGGCCTCCCACACGCGGATTTGCTGGCTCACTTTAATTACGTTTCCGGCTTTGTATCTTAGCTTTGAAAAGTCCTTTAGGTTTTGGAACTTCTTTTCAAACCCAAGGCTGATGCCTGTTGTCATCCGGACAGATTTCTCAGAGTTAGCATATTGCTTGATTCCCTAGGGTGACAACTAGCATTTCACAGGTCTAGGGGCAAACAACATGCCCACGTGGATTAGCCCTTCTCATTGTTAAAACCCTTCACGTGTGGTGGATATTTTACTAAATAACGCATTAAAATATTAATGGAGTTTTAAAAGATGCGCATTAATCCATACGTGTAATTAATTGCTTCCAGGTGTTCCCTACTGCTTTCAAGCCACCTTCTTATTAGTTTGTAGCTAAATAGTCCTGACAAGCAAAGGGACAGCCATTTGATGTTTATTTTACTGAGGGAGGCATTTTCTCACAAGCTGATACATCTTTTGGCAGAAGTTAGTAAGGAGAAAACCAACAGACTGTTACAAAAGGATGTTGGTTTCAGCACAAGGCAATTTGCTACCTCGGCCTGTACCTCATAGCCCACACAAACATCTGAGTTGCATAGTCCAATGCTTTTAAGAGCCAAGGGAGCCCAAACAGTTTCCCATTAAAAAAGTATCGTCGAGGCCATGTATGCTCATTATTAGAAAAAAGGAAGGAAAAGTTAAATTAATTTGAAAGTTCCCTTTGTCTTCATTTAGTTCTAATACAAGCTTAGACTTTTATCAGTTGATGAGCTGTATGCACTAACCAGTTTGAGGCTGCTCGTTGTTACACGCTGGGTTTTCGTTCAGGTTTAACCTCCCTTTAAATTCTCCCTCTCCCTAAATCTCTGCAACACTGTTTTAAATCCTTTCTCTTGTTTTCCTTTCCAGTTTATCCCCATGCCTGTTTTGTATGGTGTGTTCCTGTACATGGGAGTGGCCTCCCTTAACGGTGTGCAGGTAAGGTTCTCCATCGGTCTGAGCAAGCTGCGCGTGTCTCAGAGAAGGATGGTCCTAGATCTGTGATGGAGGCGCTAATCACTAACCACACACTCTTTATAAAATACGTTCATTTTCTACTTCCTCAATCTTTCATCGGCTTTTCAATTCTGATGTCAGCAACGAAACTAGCCGGTGTCAAGAAATGCTGTCCTGGACGCTCATTCCTGCAAGGGGTCATCTGGTGGGGAAAGGTGCTCTGTACTGCTGCCACCACCACCTCCCCCTCCCCCTTCTCTTCCCCACTCCTCCGTGCCCCTCCTCCCCCCATCTTCCCTTTTCTCATATTCTTTCCTCATCTTTCTCTTGACCTTGTTTGATTCTGCGTTGCACACTTCTAAGCTCAGTGATCAAAAGTTTGGCAGCAATAAACAATTAGAATTCATGTGTATTAGGTATTTCTGTCATCGAAAATTTCAGCTGTTCACAACTTCAGTTAAAATGTCCACCCCTGCCCTTGCCAGTGCCCCTGCGTCTGCCCCGGTCCACTTTTTAAAACATTTGCTAGGGAAAACATTGTGAGGGGCTTTGTCTCTCCGCGGAGGTTTAATTTAATTGGCAGCAGGAAACGGGAAGCTCCGCTGCTTTCTGGCACCCTGTTAATTGTAGCCTTTTTTTAGCGCTCAGTAATGCTTTAATGGGAAAAGACTGCGTGTTCTGTGAACATCGTAAGAATTCATTTGAACTCCTTCAGAACAGCCCTTGCTTTCATTTATTGCATTTGTATTAACTTGGTTTTAAAGTCAGATAGATCTGGGCAAATGGCCAGACCCCCCAAAAAGCGAAGCAAAGCTCCTTCACTCTTCCTGGTTTTGATCCAGGAGAAGAGTTCTTCCGCACCGGGATATTTGTTAGGAATCATAAAGTAGTTCTTCATGGGCCGCACCAGGTGAACGGCAGCATAAGTTGATTTGTGCCAGTGAAGTGTTTTGGAAGTATAGCTTTGTAAAATATTTGATTCTTTTCTGTCATTAAAAAATACTCTTTCTTCTCCAATATGAACATTAGATGCCTCGAAACTAATAATTATTTTTTTGCTTGCCCTTAAGGATCCAGTGTAAATCAAAGATTTGTTTGAGGGTGTTCCAGGGAACTTTATCAATGGCTAGAACTGAGTACCTGTCTATACAGAGAAGAAAAGAGCCAGCCATCTTGCAATGATGGGTGAAGGAAGTGTTGTGGGAACAGCTAGTGAACTGTGTAACTCCCGACGTGTTATTATTATCCTAAATGCCTTTCCACTGTCCCTTACTTTTCCTTTGATTCTGTAACAGCTAGTCCCTTTTGACACACATGGTTTAGCAAAAAAAAAAAAAAAAAAAAAAAAAAAAAAAAAACCAACAACAAAACAACCAACTTTGAAATCTAATCTTTATAGTTAAAAGTTTTCTAAAGGAAGAAGGAAAACCTTCAAAAAGGCAGTAGCTCTGAAGAAGGTTGTGATAGTGTCACTTACTGTTCCTTCTTCTTTCTGTTCAACAAAACATGGTTTCTGAGTTCTTATCATTAGTCAGTTCAATAGCTGTCCATACAACATCTCCTTCTGAAGGCCCCTGTGATGTGTTGCTAAGCGCCACCTTGTCCACCATCATTCCTGTCATTTCGGCACTTCGTCTGTGAGGTGCACATGGTACAAACTTGCACGGTCATTTTTACGGTTCCTGGTCATACACGGCAGTGCTAATCTCTCTGAGCTTCTCGTGTCTTGTTGTTGCTGTTTTGAGACTCACTGGAATGGGTATGAAACCCATCTCCAAAAAGAAAGGCTAGCACACTGGTAGATATGACTGTGCCCATCAAATGATAACCTAGAGAAAGAACGTGGGATTTATTGGTGTACTCTGCATTCCCATTTTCAGGTTAGATGCTTTAGAACAATTCTGCAATGCTCATAAGTTTGGGTATCATTTGTTCTTCTTTCAGATAGGACAACTGAGGCAGGAACAGATGCATAAGTTAGATGTCTTCCTTCAGTACATCATACCAAAATAGGTTCAGAATCCTCTTTGTTGAGAAGCAGAGAGTAGAAACAGAAGGTAGAGGATGAACAGCTAGAATTTATGTTTGCTTTGTAACTTTATCCTTGGTGTCCACTTTATCTAATATGCCTGCTAACAACTCTGCAAAAAAAAAATGATCAGCAAAACTTAGAAGACTGGTAACATGATCTGGCTGTACTAATGTAAGTCCCCTACTCCCTAAGCTGAGCTTTGTCATTTGAAGAGGACATGGCTATCCTGAAATACACAATGCAAATCACTCAGGACTGGTTAAGCAGCGCCGAAATGACTCGGGTGACTCTTCAAATAATATGTTGGCTTTTCTTCCACCTTCCTCCCCAGTTCATGGACCGTCTCAAGCTGCTTCTGATGCCCCTGAAGCATCAGCCTGACTTCATCTACCTGCGCCACGTCCCCCTGCGCCGAGTCCATCTCTTCACCTTCCTGCAGGTGTTGTGCCTGGCTCTGCTCTGGATCCTCAAGTCAACAGTGGCTGCTATTATTTTTCCAGTCATGGTAGGTTTTCCTAAATGAAACTGTCTATGGCTGTGTGCATATCACACGTATGCATGACTATATCCATGACTGGATGCGTATCGCATAGCTATTGTGATGGGGAAAACCCAGATCGTTTAAGTGATAGTCTTTCGCTGTCTTTCTAGCTTTCAGTTCATCATGTTGACCAGTTGGAGCTTAAGTTTCCCATGGTAGAATCATGCCCTCCTGAGTTCAAATACTGGCTCAAGTTCCTGCTGGTCAGCAAACATCCTTTAGCCACTATGAACTCATCAGTGGGAGGGTAGCATTGTTATTGTTCTAAGCATTGATAATGAATGCCAAGTGTATAACACAATGTCTGGCAAGCAGTACACATCAGTTCACATTTTCAAGGTATTGTATAATAGAAGCAATCTAAATAAGAATAAAGTACACTTCAGTCCAAATAGTAGAAGCATCTATAGACTTATGAGAAAAGGCAGGGCTCATAAGAAGAAGTAGAGTTTATAGATTCATGTGGTTTTCATTGTTTTAAGGATAGGGCTGGACTCCAGTCTTCCTGTGATAGTACTCAGAGGGAAGCAAGTAACTGTCCCAATGAATCAAAAGTCAAAGAGGAAATGTAAGCTCTTTGTCTTACCTCCTTATACTTTATTGTAATTCCATTGCTTGTAAGAAACTATATTGTGTGACAAAACTTTTCCTGGGGAGATGCAACACTCTTGTGTGCTCACCCCCAGATAGGGAGCCCACCATAGACCAAAGTACCAATACCGCCTGAAAGAAAAAGTTTTAGCTCAGGACACCCCAGGACCAAGTCTTAGCTCAAAGGAGATTTATTTGCCTCAGAGGGACAAAGCGTGGGGATTAAGAAACAACTACTGGAGGTAGAGGATGAGGGAGAAAGGGAGAGGAACAAGGGAGAGGGGATAAGGATATTTGTCCCTGAGGGGAAAGAAGGACAGCCTCAGGATAGAGAGGAGATAGACATGACTCATAGGCAAATGGCAGTTTATAAAGGTAAAAGGGGAAACCCCATGTTAGGATGAGGTGTTTCATTTTAATTGGGCTTCTTAATTAGGTGAGCCAAGGGTGGCTCTTAATTGCTGGATTTTAATACTTTGCTGGCTGGACCTTGGTAGTCAGCCTCAGGAGGAGGAAGTGGCCAAATAAGGGAATGGATCTTAATGGCTAGCATTAGGAATATAATCAAAGAGTTTTTAGCAAGGCAGAGGGAATGGGGGAGAAGGGTAAGGTTTGCCAGAGCCATGCTCAAGTGGGCTAGTGTCCTGTCGGTCATTATGAAAGTCCAATTTGGTGAACAAATGAGTTTTATTGGGGTTATTTACAGGAATATGAGTGAGAGGTTACTTATAGGAATGGAAAACACTCAAAGACAGCTGCATCACCAAGGGCCACCCCAACATGAGTGACAGCTCACAAAGCTGAGGATTTGGAGCACAAGTTAAAACAAGTTGTAAGGCAACCTTTCCAGCTCTCTCAGTCGGTCTGAGAGCCTTCTCTGAAGCTTAGCTCTTTTGGTCTGTGTAGGACTTTCAGGCTTTATTGCTTACTCTGGCTGGGACAGGCCCAGTGAATCTAGTCAGTTTCAGGAACTTCCTGAAACTATTTGGAGTTGTTTACATTCCTGTTTAAGGATCTTCCATGCAGGGTATAGTGTTTCAGTCTTGGAGGAAACTGATACACAACAGTAACAACAGTACCTAAGAGTGACCTCAAAGCCAGCATCTCAGTTCTGTTCCATCATCCCTAGGATTCTAGAAACCATTTCTGTACCATATACTTAGCAGATTTTGTTTTGAAAGTCTTCTTACTCATAACAGGGATTTTTATTTCATTATGTATGCATTTTCTGTTTATGATTGTATTTCTTTTTTATTCCCAGGGACATAGGAAAAATAGTTTAAAATATTACTGACATTTTTTAAGCAAGATTTTTTTTAAATTGATAGTCCCTTACATATTTTTCCCCCTTAAATTGTATTAACTTACTATAAAACAAATGGAACATGAGAAGAGACTTCCCACTTACCAGTTAGTGCCTTCTTTCTACCTACCTGTTAATTTGTTTAAAAAAAAAGAAAATTTAGATACCCATAATAAATTTGAAATACATCCAGTAAATTATATATTGTTTATACTAAATATAAGAAAAATACTTTATTTTATAAAGTGTTATTTTTCCAGAGATTTCCTTAGCTTCATAAATTATTTAGAATGTCCATGGGGCAGAGGTTATTGTTCTCTCAGGAGATGGATGATGCCTCGCATAAAGAGCGCAGTGTGGATAAAGGTCCCCGCGTTTGGCACCTGCGCTATGTGTGACTTTTGTTGTTGAACAGCTGAACCTCCACAGAGGAAAGGCAGGAGAGTGAGTCATGTGATGAAACTTGGTATTTGTCTGCAGAATAAAAAAAAACCTAAAGAAACAATGAACAGTTCACAGAACCAAAGATACAGAGGTAAAAATTGTAGGTCTCAGAAGCAACAAAGTGGCCCCAAGAGATTAAATATAGAATATATATCACTTATCGTGAGAAATGGCTGGACTGCTGATAGTTAATTAAGAGTGCCTTCTCGCTCACAACTCCCTGTAGTTCTGACACTCTCTTCTGGCCTCCACTGGTACTTACACATGTGTGTGTATACACAGACACACATATAAATAAAAATAAAATAAATGTAAAAAGAGGCAGATACCTGTCCACATTGTGTTCTTTGTTTACTGGTATCACAACCTTGGACAGCATAGCATTTGTAAATTTCAGTTTTCTCAACATAAGAGGGAAATAATATGTTTCTGGAATTTGTTATAAAGAATAAATGAACTAATATTTCCTAAGTGTTCAGCAAGGACCAGTAATATGATAAACATTTAGTTTATAATATTGACTAGTTTTTAGAAACCTGTATAATTTAAAATTTTCCAATAATTAGGAATTACATGCAAAGTTTTTTTTACCTTTAAGCTTTTAATTTTATTAAAAACCAAACATGCAAGTAAATGGTTTCAGAAAAAAATTACCTCTCATTCTAATTGATTTGAATATAAACATACATTTTCTGATCAAATATAATCATATGTCTTTATGAACAAAACAAAGTGGATTTTGACTGGTATTTTTATCAAATAACTTCCCCAAGGAGTTGGTCACTGGGTAAGCAGTTCTGTTGGACCCTGAACCAGTATGGATTTCTGCTGATGCTGATGGGCTTATGACATCATCTGACATGACATGTTTGCTGCTGATGTTGATGGGCAGCATCATCAACATCCTTATGACATCATCTGACATGGCCTGGTTTCTGCTGATGTTGATAGGCATCATCATCAGCATCCTTATGACATCATCTGACACGACCTGTTTGCTGCTGATGCTGATGGACAGCATCATCAGCATCCTTATGACATCATCTGGCATGACCTGTTTTATTTATTGTATTTCCAGATCTTGGCACTCGTAGCTGTCAGAAAAGGTATGGACTACCTCTTCTCCCAGCATGACCTCAGCTTCCTTGATGATGTCATTCCAGAAAAGGACAAGAAAAAGAAAGAGGATGAGAAGAAAAAGAAAAAGAAGAAAGGAAGTTTGGATAGTGACAATGATGACGTAAGGGAAACTCCCAGCTTTCCATGTGAAACCAGTTAAAGGAACATTGTTTGCATGTATTTGTGCTACATTAGCCCTGTACTTATACGCAAATAGTTTTCATTATGTCTCCATAACTCTTAAAAAAGATGGGAAGATCTTTTTCTTGAATTATCCTCATCAGTGCCACAGTCCAGATGGTTCTCCTATAGGATTAATTATAGTTAGGTGATTAATTTGAGAAATGAAAATTTTTATATTCTTTAGATCATGTCATAGAAGTATATATGCTTGAGATCGAGTGTGATATCTATAATCAGTGCCCACAGAAAATTTAGGCTTTATTTTTCTTATATATGCACACATACACACACAGTGCATGCACACAGAATATGAGAATTCAAACCAGCAGCCTTTTGAAAGGATTGTTAAAATGGTACTTTCTGTGGATTTTTTTGAGGGGGGAATTACTTAGCCATATTAGAAAATAATGGCCTCACGTTAAAATTCTGATTGAATATGATCATTCATCTCTGTGAACAAACAGTGAATTCTGAATGAGACCTTTATCAGACAACTTCCCCTATGAAGACTGTGTGTCACTCAGTGGGCAGTTCTGTCAGGTTCTAGATCTATGTCGATTTTCGCTGGTGTTGGTGTGACAGCAGCGTCTTCAGCATCCTTATGACATCAATTTGCTTGTGGCCCTGCAATCCTAAAGTAGGAACATAATTAATTTTTAATTCACAACTTCAACCCGGCATGCCTTATCTCCAGCTGTCATAACAAGTCCTTAAAGTGCATATTTTTTTGTTGGCATCTTATAGATAAGGAAATTTATAATGATAAACATTGATTTTTTTATTTTTCAGAACCTAAACATCATTAGCTTGAGGTATTATTGACAAATGAGAACATATATATTTAAAGTGTACAATGTAGTGCCCGGGCACGTATATTAAAGTCATTTTTCTAGGTGTGCACAGCTGGCCATAGCAAAGCCAGAGCTCCCACCCGAGCTTCTCTGTGTGTTCATAGTTGATCGGGCTGTCTGGTTGTATTCTTCAGATATAGTACAGCAAAGGGAAGCAACAGACAGAATTGGATTTCAGATAAATTGATCCAATAAGAAAAGGCTAAATGTATGAGACACATTTAGCTATAGAGAAAAGGGCTCTGAGGGGACTTCTGTGACTATCACCATCCATCTTCTGAGAGAGCAGGTCTATAGATTTTCTCTTTCCACTGAGGAAGAAGGAAAACAGAACATGTGTTTAAACTGCGGCCGAGATGAGTGTGCTGTATTAAAAAAGAACAATATTAAAAAGAACATTAACTAGAAATTAAAACTTGAAGTGAATTTTTGGACCATTCAAGACAAAAGCAAAAGGTTGGCTGAAATATTAAAATGATTAAAGCAGTATTTCATGTTGAATTTTAAAATAGAGACCTCAGTTCATGCTCACAAGCATCAAACCTAAAATCATTGCACATCATTAATATGCAAACTAATATTATGGATCATTCTCTATTACTTAAAATATTACACAACCTTTTGGTGTTGTCTTAAATTTGTCCCTGTCTTTCATGACAAAAGTTGAGTCAAATGAGTTCCTTAAACTAACCCAGAATTCTTAGATATGTTTTTTGATGACTCATACTCACACGGTGCTCTTGTTTTGATAGCATTTACCACTTTCTACTGCATCTTGCAAATACGTTCTTGGGAAATGTTTTGGTTGGTGCTAATTTCTGTTCCTCCTCTCTATCACATTCCTATCCAGACAGTAGATGTGTGCATTTGGTTGTACACAGTGAGCATGCTAGGCAGTGTCGAGTGTATCAGGGCAGTCAGTTCTATATGTTTACCCCATTATCTGAAGGCTACGCATTGGAAGTGTCTCTCTTGATACTCAGATGATGTGGCCTCTTGGGTTACATGTGTCCGTACTGGGACGCCAGGCTCACAGTTCTTATATTTATTGCAGATGTTGTGAGAATTATGCATTACCAACATTTTATCTGCTCACAGTCACTTTTGAGCCTGCCTAGTAGTCTCTAATTAAAAGTTGGTTTGCCCAAGTGTCTGGGTGTAAGTGCTATTATTTGGGGAAACATTTGAAAGGAGACTTCTGTTTATGGCATGGTCATGAAGGAAAATACATGTAGCATCTTAATTAATTTTTAATTTTTGTTAGTTAAGCACATCATCTTAGTCCTCAAGAGGTATTATAACTTATTATCCCCATATATTAATCATAAAGGAATTTTCATTATAAGCAATAGATTTTATCTTAAATTTTTTAAAGATTAAAACTCAAACACCCATTTCCTTTTTTATTTCTGGGCTCACGATGCCAGAGAAACACTACTGAGTCTGCACAGTCCCTGCCCTATTCCTTTTCCTCATCCTCTTCTCTCCTGACCCTTTTTCTCAATTAGAGATTGTTCCCTTATATTTTCAGTTAATACATAAATTGGATCTCTTTGGTCCAAATATGGACTTGGAATCAATATGCTGATTTTCTTAATTAATTAATTTTTAAAGTTCTTGCATGTTATATTAGTATATGTTGAGCATGGTCCCTCTCATGTCCCTGCCCTCACCCTTCTTCCTCCACTAGTTCCCTTTGTCTCCATAGACAGTTTTACTTCATGATTTTAGGTATCTATATAAAATCTAAAAATGACAAATGAAAGAAAACTTATGATATTCATTTTTCTTAAACTGGCTTAATTTGACTATTGTGATTGTCTCTAATTGCATCTAACTTCTTTCGAAACAACTTGAGTTCATTGCTGTTTATGGCTAAAAAAAAATGTATTCGCGCGTGGTGTGTGTGTGTGTGTGTGTGTGGTGTTTTTGTCCAGATTCTGCTATTGGACACTTAGCTTAGTTCCATAATTTCACTATTGCATAATACTGATATGACCATTGAAACTTTAAAAAGTAAAGTAATAATTATGGAACTCTATGATTTGGACTAGTTGGCCTGCTTTTAAGAAGTTCTACAACTATCGAATTTTATCATTTTCCTGATTATGATTCTCTATCTGGTTATCCTTTTATTTTTCTTGGTATTTTTTGCTATGTTTTTTTTTGCTATGTTTAAAATTATTTTTGGCACAAGCAAATTGGAATGAATTTTTCATCATGAAATAGTTTCTGAGAGTATTAACGTAAGGAAGAGAGACAAAGTCTATAGTCTTTCTAGTGGATGTTAAAAATGTCTTCAGATTGTTTTGGACAGGAATATGGACAGGAATTTGGACAGAAAGAATCAGAGAACATTGTAAAACAAAACATGAAATTTAAGACCATATATAGTTTGGAAATTTTCCTGGGTTTAATCTGTTTTTACAGGGAGCATTTCTCACTTCACACCACCAAAGACCAACCAACAAAGTTTGCCATTGGGAATGCAGTTGTGGAACACTGTTCAGTTGTGTGTGGATTGCTGATTCAGAATCTAACTATGGAACACTTTACAGTGTGGCTGTAGGAGTCTCCTTACTGTGGTTCGAGCTCAATGAGCTCAATCCCATTAACTCAGAAGGAAAACAAATGATGGGTAGAGATGTGGAGTACTTGAAAAGTTAGGCAGTCGGAATGGTACCCAATGCTTTTCTCTTTAGTTGCCATAAACGACGAAGTGGTAGGTTTGCGCAAACACCGGGGAGCAGGAAGGGCTGAAGTGATAGAAAACATTCTGAAAATTGTGCATTTCTTTCACAGTCTGACTGCCCATACTCAGAAAAGGTCCCCAGTATTAAAATTCCAATGGACATCATGGAACAGCAGCCTTTCCTAAGTGATAATAAACCCTTGGACAGTGAGTAGAACTAACCTCTTGCATGCTTGCCTGACTACGACCCACGCTTGTCCTCTAGGACGGCCCTCGGTTTGCCTCTCTCCTACGTGGTCTTTATTCTTTCCTGTGTGAAGACTGAAGCAACTCACTTCTCAGAAGACTTTATTTGAAGCTTTACCCATCTTTCTTTTATCCATAACCTCTTATATATTTATTTAATGGTCTTTTTGCTAAGTCATCACCAGGGTTCTTTTTGTTCGTTTTGTTTTCAATAGCTAAACCTATAACCGTATTTTTAATTGATCTTTCCCCCTCACTGATATTTAGAACTGCAACTTATATAGCATTACATCACTGTCTGTTACTGTTTTTCCTCCTTAGGTCTCAGTCAATCATCTAATTGATTAAAAGAAAGAAATTATACCTGGGGTCTGTCTAGGATCAATGAATTATTAATGTTGAGAATTTAGAATACTTTCAATTAAATTAACAGTTGTGAAATATTAGCAAAACTCTCTAGATACACCTGATTTGTGTTTTTCTTCCTAATTTCTTCATTCCTCTTCTATTTCATATTCACGGTTAGAGTTGCTCTGGTCTTTCTCCAGTAATGAGCTGGTGGCTACCATGTAATAGCATGCGAATTGTCATGTTTTCGCCTGTGCTTGACAGGTCATGCTGTAGTAACATCAGTGAACACAGGAAGCTTTCCAGTAGCATAAAGCAGCTGCCTCCAAAACATGTCACGCTTTGGGCTTTCAACTGAAGAAAATGTGTTCCTTTAGATCCAGCTATGCTGCAGAGGATACTGAGCTGGTATAGGAACAACAACAGAACCACTTTTATTTCTAGTGGATAATACTACCCTCTGTCAGTAAGAGGTTAGGGTTATCAAGACAATTTGAAATTGGTAACTATTGATAAAATATGGGGTTTATATAATTATCAATTTCTCAGTAACAAACTACTGCAAACCAGCACCACAGTCATGGTCTTTGACATTCAAAAATTCAAGAACTGTTGAGCTGCTGGGTCTGGTGCAGGGTCTCATGAGCTTGCGTATTCGGCTGTTGGCTGGAGCTGCGGGTCTGTTTCCAACCAATGATCTTTGGCAGGAAATTTCACTTCCTTGGCTTGTGAACATTTCCATAGAACTCCAATGGCACAGTGCTATGGCTCTGCCCAGAGATAGACAGAAAATTCAAATAGAAGCCATGGTATTTTATGATAGAATCTAAGATTCAGCTGCCCAGAACTTGGCCCGCAGACTTAGCTGTGAAGACAGCTCTCTTGCTGTGTAGGAAGGAGTCACAAAAGAACATAAACACCAGAAAATGGGATCATTGGACACCATTTGAAGGCAGAGTACCCACTGCTTTTACAGAACAACCAGTCTTACCTTTGTTGTCTAACTTGTAAATATGAGTTACGAAAAAGCTAATTTTATGCCCATCCTTATCAATGGAAATTTGTTAGGAGTTTCTTTTAGAATTTAAGTTCCTCTATTATATTCTGCTTTCATTTTTCATCCCTGGATAATTAAAGGCAAACAAAGGCTGTAAAGGTTACTTTAAAAAAAAATTGCCAGTCCAGAACTTAAGACTTGTGATAAAAACTTATATACCACTTGTTTGCCCTGAGAAAATACTTTTACTGGTATAACTGATGGTTGATGTAGAAGCTTATATATGACCATTTTGACTGAAACTTTTCTAATGACGTAGTGATCTTTGTAGGCCAATGAAGAACAGAGTTGATTAAACTGGAGTTATATTGGATGCACCTTCAACATCTCTTTTACCTCTTGAATAGCAACAGCTAGGCAAGACTGGGGTTGAACATGGATGGAAGCCCAAAGACATTTATGAGAAACAGAGAGGATGTTCTAGCCCCCATGGCAGGGACTCCCTTCTTACCCTAAAGGGGAGAGAGAAAATGATTTGGGCGCCATCACACTGCCTGCACGCTTAGCTTGATGCAATGTTCATCGATGCTGTCTAAACCTGATTTTCCTACTCTTTCCGGGTCTGAAAGGTGCCTTGGTTTGCATGAAGATTTTCACACTCACTCTCTAATGCACATTTTTGCCGAAGATCTATTTTTTTCATTTTTTATTTTTATTCTTTTGTCTTTCCAGGAGAAAGATCATCAACATTCCTTGAACGCCACACATCATGCTGATAAAATTCCTTTCCTCGAGTCGCTGGGTATACCAAGGTCAGCGTTTGCCTTGTGAGGTGGGATGCTGCAGCAGTCGGGGTGATGGTCAGAATCCCTTGTTCTTGGACTTAAATAAATTACCTGGGGACACAGGAATCACCCTAGACTTGCTGATGAGAAGCATTTGCAAAGACTGAGCTTTACTCTTAAGAATAATAGAAAACTTCAGTGTCATTAAATTAAAGGCCAGGATCCACATTAGCCCTTCCGATTTCCTTGTCATGCAGGGTGACTGGAGTTTCCTGGCAGCTTTCTTCAGTAGGTCCCTTCCCTCTAGCAAGGGTCTTGAAATGACAGGGCCTGTTTGCATCTCAGAAAACAGGAACATGCCTGTCTTCAGGGTGCTTGTCGTGGCCCTCAATTTCTAACAGTATTAACCACACGGTAGTTTTTTTTTTTTTTGAGAATTTTTGTTAAATATGAAATCTTGGGCAATTTTACCTGAGTTTGCTTTTATTTAAAAGTCCCTGTTCTTAATACACATGGAAGGGACGGGAACAAATGGAACATGTCGATAGATTTTGAGGGAGCCCCCAGCATAGGCATTTCGGGGATGATGATGAAATCTGTATTTACTCATTGCTTTTCTTCTTCTTTTCTGTTTTGCTTTAGTCCTCCTAGAACTCCAGTGAAAGCTGTGCCTCAAATTAGAATAGAACTTGAGCCTGAAGACAATGATTATCCCTGGAGGAACAAGGGAACAGAAACTACATTGTAACCTGTTTGTCTTTCTCAAAACTGACAGCTGTGTTGTTAACCGCTCTAATTTTTTTTTCTTTTTCTTTTTCTTTTGTCTGCGTATTTTAAAACTTTTGTTCGGTCACTGGCTGAATACTACAGTCACTCTCTCTGCTTTTCTCTTGCATAGGTAAAATCAAGACAATAATGTCCCTTTCCTTTAAGAAAGAACACAAAAAAGCACCTGGGGGATCATGCTTTCGTTTCCAGGTGTTCAGACGCGTCCTCTGACATGTAAATCCCTGTCACTCAAGACACACACACAGAGGCTGCCCTTGTCAAGCAGAGATCAAAAGTATTAAGCATTTTGTACCACCTTTTATGAACCTGTTGAAGGAACTTATGACCCAAGCTTGGAGCTGTGCTTACTGGCTTGCCATTGTCTGGTAAAGTGACCCTTGACCTCCAGACTGAGACCCTTCTTGCTTACAGAGCCCCCAAGGCTGGAAGAGTGCTGCTACCCACCTGCCCTTGCTCGTCAGCCCTGATCTTAGAGTTATCAAAAGCAGAAAACACTAATGGTACTTCGCTCCCTGTAGAGAAACCTTTGCCATCATTGTAGCAAGTGCTGGAATGTCCCTTTTCCTATGCAACTTTTTTAACCCTTTAATGAACTTATCTGTTGAGTACATCGAAGAATATTTTTCTTCCTAGATTTTGTTGTTTAAATTATGGGGCCTAACCTGCAACTTATTTTTTGTCAATTTTTTAAACTTTTTTTTAATTACTGTAAAGAAAATGAATTTTTTTCCTGCAGCAGGAAACATAGTTTTGAGTAGTTCTACCTCTTACCTGTAGCTGCCAGGCTTTCTGTAAAAATTGTATTGTATATAATGTGATTTTTACACACACACACACACACACACACACACACACACACACACACACACAAGCCAGAAGGCTAGAACAAATTAAAAGAAAAACAAAACACCATGTTTCTAAGAATCTGTTGGGTTGCTGTTTTTTCCCCTTTCTTCAAAATCACTGTAACTGTTGTGTGAAGGAGTTGGGGAGAGAAGGAGCGGAAGAGGGTTAACTCACGCGGCGGGGATGGTCATGCTGGGAGCAGATGCTGGTGTGCGGCATGTCCATGTCCCGTGCAGTATTGGTAAAGATTTCCTCATTTGAATAATTTGTGTGCTTGTGTGTGAACTCTGTGTGTGGCTGTTGCACACTTGTGCAGAGTCAGCTAAAGAGTGACAGTAGACAGAAGAGAAACTTGCCAAGCCCCTTGTGTCCGTTTCCATAAAACCAAACCACTGCTGAAAAACCTCCTTAGAGCCAAGAAATTCATCACGGAAATTCAGGTGAATATATCTTAGTAATTACTCAGACATTGATCAACATCACAGATACAGTTCACGTCTGTATTTCCAGTACAAAAGCCATAAGAATATTAACAGCCCCGTCACGCATCTATAACGGGAAGAATGCACATAGATCTACAAAGACAGTTTAAAGGGCTCAGGTACATGGGTTTATAGAACACGGTGGTTGGATCACTTAGAATATATATGTGTGTGTATGTGTGTGTATGTATGTGTTTCATTATACCGTGTTAACCTTTATGAGCCAAACTGACTGTGGCATTTGATTTTTAGTAAGTCCCATTATATACTGAGTGTATATTAAAATAACAGTTTAGATATGAAATCCACACTTTGGGATTTGTATAACAACAGTTGTAATGTATACTCACTGTCAGGCATTACTAAAAGAATTAGAGAAGCAGAAATGAACCACATTTTGGTTCTGTGGTGTGCTCTTATGGACCCCCAATTTCTTATAGTAACTAAAATATAATTCTGCTCTCCTAAAATTTTGATGATAAGAGTTCTATTATCTTAAGTTAACTGTTATTTTTACAGTATTTGGTCATCTTAAAACTTTAAATTTTATAGAAATTAAGCAGAAATGACATCATAAATAATCATTGGAATGATAGAAAATGACATGGTATTTGTAAACATCTCAAGTGATGATTTTTACATCACATTTGTATCCAGAGCTATTAAATGATAAGATGGTTATCGTGTCTTGCCTAGTTTTCTATTAAACCATGTAAGTAATCTTACCTTTTTAGTGATAGAAACCTCAGTAGAATGTTTAAAGGCATGCGTAGTAAAGGCGAGTCCTTCTTGATGTTAAATCAAAGACACTTTGTTTACTTTTCTGAAATCTCTGGAGATATATGTATATGTTTATATATTATACATATACACGCACTGATATATTCTAATTATGAATCAAATTTATTTAGAGATCCATGGTCCCTTTCCTCCTTTTCTGAGTGTTCCTGAAGTATCTAATTCAGGATTCAGTTCAATAAAATCCTTATTTTTTTGACTGGGTGGATGGTTAGCACTCACGAAATGAACATAAAGTCATACCTTCCTTTTGCTGCGAGGAAGAGTTAGCACCATGCCCTCTCATGACTCCTGTAGTTCCCGCACTAACCAGCAGATCCCCAAATCTCCATGGAAACACCCCATTATCTGAATCTGGCTGAATCTGCTTCTTGGCTGATAACTAACCAGATTTTAGGGTGGTTTTGTTTCTATGTAAACTGGACACAAATGTAGCAATGGATTCTTTATAATGCCTTCCTACCCTTCCTTCCTGGCTGTGAATTTGGAGATTTATGTTTCTTGAAGACTCAGAGGTGTTGAACAGGAATACTGTGGTTGTGCAGACTGACTGTGCAAAGGAAGATCTGTGGGCTGAACCTGCCTATCAAGGCATGAGGCCTGCGCTTGCAGAAGCCTTTGGCGATGCTGTTCCTTTCCTACTGTGTGCAAAAACTACTTGGAATCTAACCGTTTTGTGTGTCGGAGCCTGTGTTGTTTGAGCTTCTCCTTCCAGTAAAGTTGAGGGATGGGGCTGGGAAGTACTCCCTTGAGAAGAGGTAAAGAAAACCTCCCTCCTCATCCCCCACCTAAAAGAAGGGGTGTCTGCTGTCAGTAATTCAGCTTCTGTGCATTTTGGGCACATGTAACAACACACACAGAGTAAAACCATTGTTGGCTATGTGTTGGTGTTTAATAGAGCAAATGATTGTCTTCCATGTTTTTGTTTCTTTTTTTTTTAACTGTGTTAAAGTACTTGAAATGTATCGACTGCTGACTATCTTTCAAAAACAAAACCATTTGAGTTATATTGCAGAGGTTGGCATTGATCGGACATGGGACAAAGTTTTCTTCAATCTTTTTCAAACCACTTCATGATTTTGGTGCAAGAACCTGAGATGCTCTTCTTTCTAGCCTGTGCTATTCCCGTCTGCTCTCATCGCACTAAGTGACTGGAGACAGTCAGCAGACAGCAGCTCCTCCCTGTCAGAGGAGCCTTGGGAACGTGCAGATGACTTCACTGAGCTTCTTGGCAGCCTGAAATGAAAACCCTTTTGTAATACCTGTGAATCTGGCGACTCGCGTGTTGACCAGAGATTTGGATATAGCTTATTCCTGGTTCATTTCATTGTGCTCTATGGATACACACAAGAATCCTGAATTCTGTTTCCTAGGCAAATACTGCAACTCAGGGCTAATGTCACCCAGTGAATCCTTAGAGTCTGAAGTAACTTTGTCCCAGGCCGGCAATGCGCAGCGATGCAGACTTGCCTCCTTGCAGCCATTTCCAGGGCTGGTCCATATCCATACACATCACTGCTCACGATCAGTACGCACTTTCAGATAGTCTTATTTTTATTCTCTTAAGTCTTTATTAACTTTGGAGAAATGATGCATCTTTTTTTTTTAAATGAAGTAGATCAACATGGTGGAACAAAATGATAAAGAACAGAAAACATTTCAATATATTACTAATAATCTTTTTCCAATATGAAACCTAAAATTCCTATAACATAGTATTTTACAGTTTTATGAAGCTTTCTATTGTGACTTTTATGGAATTAAGAGATGAAGAAGATGAGATATTTTAGCATTTATATTTTTCAAAATTAAATGTATACTTAAAATAAAGTAACTTTATGCATTTGTGGGTGTCGAGTGCTTCTGTTCAACTCTGACTGAATGCTTTCATATGTTGCTTGGATGCTGTGAAAACAAGTGAAGCTGAGTGAGCGAGAGCACCTGCCCTCCGACTGTGGCCATGTCCCCAGGCAAAAGGATATAATAAATGCCCCCAAACTTAGAAGAGTGAAGTCATATATTTTATTGTTAATGAAGTGTTCTTGTTCAAAGTTTATAGTACATTCATAGTGAATAAGGACAATGAGAGAAAATACTGTCATCCTTTTTTTAGCTACTAAAATAAAAAATATATCATTTTCTTGAATCTAGAATGACATATATACTCAATTAATTCTTCAAGCAAACTGAAAAGCTACAACGTATTAGCATCCATTAAAAAACAATTACTCAAATGAATAAAATCCAACAATGATTTTTTCCCATCAAAAATTGATTCCCCGAAGATATATTGCACACACTTCTCTCGGGCCAGCTTGAGCTTTCATCTAACATTTAAATGTCTCTAGGAAATGTCAGTCTGGCCCTAAATTGTCGTTAGAAAGTGGTGATAATGGCAGGTGAAGCTGATGGTGGGGAAGATGAGAGATACTATTAGAAGCAGAGGAAGTTTGCGTTGGAATGCAAGCAGGAAGGCTTTGTCTAGAACAGTCATTTGCTCTAGAAGTTTCCTGAGGCTCTTTGCACATCTGGATATGTGGTATGGTGATGCGATGGCAGACTTGATGGCTGAGCTGTAAGAAGCAGCCAAGCCTGACTCAACGAAGATCAGATATGGTAAAGGTTTACTAATTCTCTTAGATAATCCATTAGCTATTATCATGTGTCCAGTTATGAGGTCAAGAAATTAGGATGAAAGAATATTTCGGATATTTTCACGAATTAAGTAACCTTCAGGAAGTCTCCAAAGAAAATGATATGTACATGGGACGATGGTACATTGCCGTATTTGTGATATAAGACACAATGCTTTGTGTAATAAATTGATGCGTAGGGAAGGGTTTAAAGGTAGAGCTGTGGACAGTTATGTAACTTCTAAAACCACAGTCCTTTGACACAGTGATTAGAACAAGATGGTACCAGCCTGAAGTGGAATAGACAGTGTCTCAACTCATGTCCACGTAGAAATGCCTTTTGAATGAGGTTTCCATAGCTATGACTCAAGACGGAGTTGGCAGCAGAGTCGTCTTTGTAACTGCCACCAGGAACCAGAGATGAGAGTACTTCTCCGTGCTGTCCCTGTGTGACATTTGTGTTAAGAGTTTGTGCACATACCTTATTCTTACTGACAGGTTTTCTCGCCGAAAAGGTGACATGTATATTTCCACATATTTCCAGTATGCAACCTGGCCTTCCTTACCTGCTAGAGGACAAGGATGTAAATCATAACCCTCTGAACAACCACACTGTCTCAAGATTAGGCATGCAAGTATGAGCAGCTGAGGTTGGGGTGGAGGGATTCTCTTCCCTGTTACTTTCTTCAGACTATCAGTCAGCTTGTTTATTTATCCATTTCTATAGATATGTAATTATCTAATTATAAATACATAATTACCTATTATGTATTCTTTGCAGATGTGTAATATAGATAGGTAGTTTTACGTAAGCATGTGATCCTTGGCATTTTCCAGAGCCCTCTGTTTGTTTAAGAAATGTGTGTAAACAAATGGTGTTTGAAGTGGAATGAGAGCATAGGAAGTGAGGAGCAACACAGAAAATTATTGATAAACATTAATAGCTGAGATCTGGAAGGAAATGAAAAGTTAAGAAGATAACTGTAAAATATATTCAGGAACTTAAGAAGCAAGTTTTTGAGTCCAGAGGCCAGGATGTTACAAGAGATCTGTAAGGCAAAGTATATTGCTTCAATAATGATATAGTCTGTTGGTTAAATGATTTAATTGATTGTCTTAAAGGTAAAAAAAAATGAATTGCAGTCAATGTCAGATAATTAATAACTTAGAGCTACGACAAGGTTTACCTGTGTTCAGCTTGGTCATTAACTTTTGGAATCTGAATGGAGTGGTTGCTGGAAAACAGGAAATGACACATAAGTCGTACTTTCAAGTAGGTTGGAGCCTAAGGGGGCAGATGTAGGGTAAGCAGTTCTGTGGGAAGTTATGATGCCTGCCGTGAGGCTGCATCTTCTGGAAATGGCAGGGCAGGTATACCCACCGAGGCTCGTCAGCATGGCTACCTAAATGTAAGGCCTGAACGAGGATGACACCAACAGACAGGCTAATGTGCTGACATGGAAGGGGAAGATTTTGTGGAGCCCCTGACCCTCCATAGAGAAACTACAGACAGCTACGCAATGCTAAGATAGAAAATGGCCTTCCCCGGCGGCGATTCACCCAATTGGTTGTCAGGTTCCAAGTGGTCAGCCCTTAAATCACATGCTTATAAATTACATTATAGGGGCTAAGCAGATTACATATTTAAGTGTATGTATGTGTAACAATAATTAAAGGAAAAGAGGCCAGTGACCCTGAATTTGAGAGAGAGGAAGGTAGGGAAAGTAAATAGAAGGGTTAGAGGAAGAAAGGGAAATGATATATTTTAACTTCAATTTTTAAAAATTGTGATTAAGTATAAAATATTGTGATGACTAAGCAGATTATATTACTCTTTACTCCTGCAGAGGACCCAGGTCTGCTTCCCAGCACCCACATGGTAGGCAGCAGCCATCTGAAACTTCAGTTTGAGGGGATTTGATGCCCTTTCTTAGCCTCCATGGGCACTGCATGCATGTGGTACACAATTACATGGAGGCAAAATCACTAAAAACGAAGTAAAATAAATGGTGTCTGGAGTGGAATTATGAAAATAGATACGGAAAATATGGAAGATATAAAACAAAATAATGAAAAGAGAATTACCATATGCTTTGGTTTTGATGTCTCCTCCAAAGAACATGTTGAAGGTGAATCCTCAACATGTTTTCCTTCTCAACATCGCAGGTGAGCGAAAACAATACTGAGAGGTGATGGCATCGGAGAGAACTCTGCTGTCATCACTGGATCTACTTCTTGCTACAGAGGGCCCTGGTTATCTCAGGAATATATTCCTCATGGGGATGAAATTGCCCCTAAATTTTTCTCTCTACTTCTTTGGTGTGTGCTTGTCTTTCCAACAGGTTAAGATGTAGCAAGAGGGGACCTGGAATATGTGCAGGAAGCTGGTTAGGATGATGTTGGCCTGGGGACAGAGGAGACATCATTGTAACAAGGAGAGAGGAGGTCAAAGAATGACAAAAACATCAAATTCATGGTGCAGGGCCTCTCTGTGCAGACTAGGAATCGAGAAAACAGGAGTAACTGGTTGAACCTGCTGCATGGTGGGGAGATTGTGGTCTCTGAGAGGCCTGAAGAGAAGAGAAGCCTCTGAGAAGCAAGTTCAAGGAAATGTTAGGGGATGGGAGTACTCTGTGGTCCTTGACATCACAGACTTTGTTCCAGATAAGAGACTTCACACTCACATTCAGTTGCAATGGAAATCCTTTAAGGGATTTTAAGAAGGAAAAAACTGATCAGATTTGCCTCAAAGAGGCTTAGCTTGGAGAGTCTAGAAGCAGAGTGACCAGTGGAAATAATCCCAATGAGGGGTGATAGTTGGGGCTAGTCCACATTTACCAGGTGAGTAAATAGGACAGATTAAAGAATACATATACCTAAAGCTTTGATTTTTGTCATTCTTTGTATCGTTCCTTAAGTAATCAATACTTTTTTTTAAGACTTAGAGAGGTTTTTGTTTCTGGTTACCCCTCCCATCTTCTGCTAAATATTGTTCTTCCAGATTCTCCCTCAAGCTGGATCCTCTCCATGTCCTATCACAGCCCTTGCATCCCTGTCCGCAGCTCCAAAGAACATCTTCCTGCTGGTTCCTGCCCGTCTCTGCATCCTCTGCCCCTTCATTCTCATGAGCATCATCCTTCTGCTGGTTCCTGCCTGTCTCTGCATCCTCTGCTTCTTCATTCTCCTGAGCATGTCGGTACCACTGATTTTGGACCATTCGGAACTGAGCAATGCATGTTCACTGATCTATAGCGTACGTATCCATCTATTCCACACTGTGCCACAGAATCAGCCACCAGTCACGTGGTTCTCATGATGACCATGTAAACGTCACCCTGTAAGTCTGCTTCTAACGTCACTCAACACATCACTAATTATTCCCTGTCCCTTAAGCAGCTCTAAGTCCTTAACTGTTTTAAAATATCTTCGTGTACCCAGCACTAATGCGGACACCCAGTGCCCATCACGCTCTACTGAGTGCCTCCCACTGCCGCTGAGCTTCTGGGTCCGCCCACTGAAAACAGATGCCCCCTAACCTACCCTCCAAACTCACAAGTTTTTTTTTTTAACTGTAACACTTCATTCTACACAAAGCGGTAAACATCTCTTTTTCTGAGAGTCTTTTAAAAATAGATCTTAACGAAAATACGGAAACTTACAAGTGCCCCCAAAACTCCCACCAAGTTCTGAATGATGGAGGCAAACACTAATTTAAAAGACGAAACTACCTAGTTAATGCCCGATGTAGGCTGCGGGGAAGGCCGTAGGAGAACTCATTAAGGTTTGGACTCAGACACTGTAAGGAACAGGATGTACAGTTGGCTGAGAAAGACTGTTAGAGACTATGCACATGGGAACTGCCTCACCCACTCCCGCTTCTCAATCAACCTAATGCTAGGCTGTTATCCTGTGGGAAAAACTCAAGAGCGTTTTCCTCTAAAATAATTGAACCAGTTTCCTTGGGAGAAGTTAGGGGCTTATACAGAAAAGTTTTTGACTGGTTGGTTTTCCTGGACATCAGATGCCAGCCTAAATACCCACAAGACTTACCCCCAGACATGAGGCTCCCTGACAAATTTGCATCACATGCTGAAGTGTGTGGATAGGAAGAACCACAAAATAATTTTTTGGGGGGGCAGTTGTTTAAGCTCTACTGAGAAAGACTAATAAAGTGCATAAACTATGAAAGATATTTCAGAGACTAGAAGGT